TGTCCAGTAGTTAATTTCACATATCTGTGATAAAACTATTTGTCTCTGCGATTGTGTTATCATACTACTGTAATTTGAACTGAATTCTGATGACAACCCAAACTTTGCCTTTCAAATGCACAGAAACTGAGGAAGAAATTGGCTGCAAGAGACCCCAGTCCACCAGATCTAACACCTTCTACTTCCTTGGAAGTCAATGTTTCGATGCCGCCGCCGCCTCCCGCCGTTCCTTCTCCACACCAAACCGAGGAGGTTCAGGTCCGGGATGTTGAGCTGGAGCAGGAGCAGGAGCAGAGCAAGCATGTGACCGTGGAGGCAGTTCCTGATGCTCCTGTGCAGACGTCGTCGGCATTGCCACCTGGTGTATCTAGGGAAGAGCTCGCTGCAATCAAGATCCAGACCGCCTTCAGGGGATACCTGGTAATTCGACATCAGCTCTTGAATTAGCAATTTCATGCCATTTGGAATGTTTTGTGAGCTCATTGTGACAGTTGGAATACTTAAATGGCTGCTTTCATTCTAACTATGTCATGAAATTTATATAAATTAAAGATTAAACGTGCTTGCGTGCAGTGTTTTATTTTCTGATGGCCGCTGATCCGGTCTTTGCATTTTTTCAACTTTGGAAGAAAAACTCTTGTATTGTTTATGGATTATGTCTCTGTACGAACATGCCTGAACATGCAAGCAAATCCCCGTGGTGGCCTTCCTCAAAACTTTCTCTTATCCTCTTCTGAGGTTTAGGTATTATCAGCTCACCAACTTGGTCAGTTGCTTTTAATTTGAATTGAGGCCTCTTGGTGAAATTTCTTAGCTACTTACAGTTCCTCTGTTCTGTTCACAAATTTTGCATGGTAAAACAACTTTTATGGTTCAACAAGCTAGTATTCTTGCCTACCAGAATCCTCTGTTCTTCTTCTTTCGACAAACCAATCCTCTCTTACTCCTTAAAAGCACTCATCGCCCCTTATGATTTACTCACTAATGTTCATTTACTCTGTATATGCTGTTGAAGAGGGCCTACAAAAAAATCTTGCCAAATATCACAGAATAATCCATGCGCATCTGTCAGTTGGTGGCAGCCACCTTTCATTATTCATTTTATTTTTTAATCATTTTTTGATGTTGATGGCATTGCTTTGTGGTATAGCCTTGATACAAAGGTAGCACGTCTTGAACTTGACTTTGTAGTTCCATTCCAAAAACACGATAACATATCCTGTGAAATTTTTATTTACTCAATATGCTTATGTTTTTCTTCCGCTATACATATTCCTTTTTTTCCGAACCAGGATTGCTATACATATTCTGAGAGTCATTGTAATAATGCAGGCAAGGAGGGCACTACGAGCCTTGAGGGGCCTTGTTAGATTGAAGTCATTGGTCGAGGGTAATTCGGTTAAGCGTCAAGCTGCAAGTACTCTGCGCTGTATGCAGACCCTCGCACGGGTGCAGTCACAGATACGTTCAAGAAGGCTGAAGATGTCTGAGGAGAACCAAGCCCTCCAGCGCCAGCTCCTGCTGAAACAAGAATTGGACAGTTTGAGGGTAGGCAAACCATCTCAAAGCCTTCATTAGTAAAAATATTGTGTGTGCCACTGTTGTCCACTCACCTGGCTAGGCATCGACTAGTTTTTGTTATTGCACGAGAGAATTTTGCTTGACGAGTACTCCAATTTCCAGAAGTATCGCTTTCTCTTTTGCTCCAAATCTTGCAGTCGCGGGTAATTACATCTTTTAAGTGAGAGCATTAAGCATACTCTGTTTTTTGAATTATACCAGATGGGGGAGCACTGGGACGACACCACTCAATCCAAGGAGAAGATCGAAGCAAGTCTAATAAGCAGGCAAGAGGCTGCGATAAGAAGAGAGAGAGCTCTCGCATACGCGTTTTCCCATCAGGTAGGCCTTCCCGACTCTTAAAAATAGATGCCAATCTTCATTTCATCTCATTCGACTATGTCATTCTTAAAATGCTTGAAAATTTGCACTATGCAGTGGAAGAGCAGTTCAAGGTCCTCCAACCCAATGTTTGTAGACCCAAACAACCCACACTGGGGCTGGAGCTGGCTGGAACGCTGGATGGCAGCAAAGCCTTCTGAGGCCGGCCGCACTGGAACCGGCAAGGAAAGCAACATTGACCAGGGATCAGTGAAGAGCACGAGTTTGAACCTTGGAGAGGGCGAGATCACTAAAGCCTTCAACCGTAGGGGCTCCAAGCCAGACAAGTCGTCACCCACGACTCCAAAGCTGACCCGCCCAGCTTCCCGCCTGTCCCCTTCTACGCCCACTGCCAAAGTGACACCAATAGTTGTGAAGAAAAAATCTGCTACACCGAAGAACGGGATTTCACAGGTGGATGACGATGCAAGGAGCGTGGTCAGTGTGCAGTCCGAGCGACCAAGGAGGCACAGCATAGCCACCTCAACGGTGCGGGACGACGAGAGCCTCACAAGCTCTCCGTCAGTCCCAAGCTACATGGCCGCCACCAAATCTGCTAGGGCCAAGTCCCGCCTCCAGGGGTCACCACTGATCGATAGCGCAGAGACGACACCAGAGAAAGGAGGCTCTGTTAGTGTTGGGTCAGCCAAGAAGAGGCTGTCCTTCCCAGCTGGAGGTGTTCCCCCCTCCCCAATGAGGCGGCATTCTGGCCCTCCAAAGGTGGAGAGCATGGTGAAGGACATCGCTGAGACGCCGCAGCCAGAGGCCCTGGCGATCAGTGGTTGAAACAAACAAGCAACTCATACAAGTGGAGACGGGACTATGGATTATTACGCAGATACACACATTTCACCCATGAAAAAAAAAGGTTAAAAGTTCTTCGAATTGTTGCATTTTGTTTTCATCCAATTATTATTGTGACTCTCGGCGTCGTCTGTTAGTCCATTTCATTTGTTGCTTGTGCAAAACCATATGGGGTTTGTTGTTTGTATGTACACAGGTCTTCTATTTATGCGAGCAATATATTTCTTCCATGCCTTCTATTTATGGTCCCAAATTCCCAATGAGCTTGTCAATGTAGCACTCTGCCCCAATAAGTATCCTATCTTTCTTTAATGTCTACACAAAAGCATATCAAATTTAGTGGTTTTGTTCACTGGGTTACGCATGTACAAAAAAAAAAAACAATGGTTGGTGGTGGCCATGCTCTCACCATGGTTGGTGTCAGCCATGGCAGCTACCTCTAATCATGTTGCCTTTCTTATTACGGCAATTACCCAGCACCCAGTTGAAAACTTTTATCTCATACTCCTATTCAAAAGTGCAAAAGATAAGGGAGAATGTCTTCGACACTTCCAAATGCACTTTTGAAATAAATATGTTATTCTCCCTTATCTATGTGGAAATACACTGTAATTATGCAAACTCTCTGCAAAATTTTGTTCATTGGGGCCTGCACAAAAGTAAAATGAAAATGTTGTCCGGTAAGAACATTTTTTTGCCTTAATTTTGTTCTCCGCAAATACCCGAAACTGGTGTCAGAACGACAATACTACCGTTGAGCTCAGTTAATTAGTAAAAGGGGTAAAGGTTCAGGCCAAAACATGGCATATGTTTCACACCTTATCAGGTCCATGACAAGCCTCAGAAACATACTCATGCTTCCACTTCTTAAACATCTAACAACAGTTTTAGATAGACAGTAACAGCCAAGACATCCAAGCACAGTTCCATCACTGATCATGGCAATTGATCAAGCATTCATGGCTGAGCACAACCTATCAATCATTAGCTCAGTTCATGCTAACGACCCCCAACACCGAAATAGATAACTGAAATCTTCCAGGGGATGATCGGATGCCTCAACTCCTTCCATTCCCATCTAGAGTGTGTCCAGAAGCTTCAACTAACAAGTAAAACTATTATACCTTCTCGCCAGTGGTCGATCGTCACACGACGCGCTTCAGGAGATTCAGGAGAGTCGACGCGGCGGGCCCAAATCGCCTACTGGTTGATCGGCAGTTGCTTGCGGAGAACGGATTGTAGAAAATATGCCTTCTCTCCAACAAGCCAAGCTGGATTTGAGTCTGAGGCTGAAGATCTGCAAACTCTTTCTTCGGCACATAGGATGGAATGATTCTCATGATATACCGCGCACTCAGCACCGACCTCCATATCGGTATGAACTGGTCCCTTGAGTACCAGAGGTCCTCTCCTCTGCGTGGTTTCCTTCTCACAGCCTGATTAACACAAATGATAAATATATCAAGGTTGATGATCAAACGAAGTGCAGGGGGGCCTCTTTAGGTCTGAAGCAGGTTATTGTCATCGAGCTGTACACGCTCTTCGGGTGCAAAAGCATGCCTATGCATTACCATGTCAAGAACAATCAAATGAAAAACAGAGTCTTGGTCGAGTTTTTTTTTTTTTTGATCTCGACAGGTCGTTGCCAATGCAAGAAAATTAAACACCCCAGGCCAGATTGTCTTTTGACTCTTCTGATTGATTCAGACTACAAAATCGGTATAAGAAGAGGATATGCGTTGACGACACCAAGCAGACAGATCATTTGCACAAAATCATTTGTCTTTAGAGAAAACAAAACAAGAGTGTCTCAGCTCTAGACATTAAAGAACTCATGAATTTGTACATGTTGGCTCTAACATATGAAGACTTCATCCCCTCAGTATCAGCATGGAAACAGCAGAAATAAATGAAAACAGAAAATACTGAATTCATAAAAAAACAGATAGCCAGCATGCAGCAAAATAAGAAATAGAAAACTCTGAAGGCAATGAAGTTCAGATATCCTTTACTTTTTTTGCCTTGGCATCCAGAGTTGGTGATCCTTGGTTGCCTTGGTGAAATCTGTGTCCCCTATTTCCCATTACAGAATTAGTACAGCTTATTTTGCGAAATTTGTGGAGCACGGTTAAAGTACCATGTTCTGCAATGCACACGCACCATGTCCATGTAATACACTATGGGGCACTCTGCAGTCATATGGGCGGCTTTAAAATAGCATGTAGAAGGGAATAGTCATTAGATTGTTGCATGAATCATGATATGTACAAACGAATAGCTACCATAGAAGCAGAAGGCAAGAAAAAATCGAACCATTTAAGCTCTTCAACGCAAATTCCTTTTCCAAGAGGACCAACATCATAATTCTGAAGAATTGCTGAAACTTTTCCATGGACCTCCTGATATGATGATGCCTGCATAATTCTATTTTAATATATAAACCCAGTGACAGAGGTAGTTAAGTATCTTTTTTTCCTTTACTTGGTAAGTATCCAACCCAACTCAACTATCTATTAGTTTAGTCCATAATCCAAAAAGGCCATATATATATATATAGGCACACTAAACTATCACTGCACATCTCAAATGCTAAATGGATACATACCAGATCATTTCTACCCTCAACTTCATGCAATCCTCAGGTTTTGTAATCAGAAGAGAACAAACCGGATTTTTTTGGCAAGTGCAATTGCCTCATGAGTTCTCGAAATCCAAAACTTAATATATGAGAATATTAAGATTCAATAGAATGAAGCAAACAAATATACAAGACATTAAAGCTGCAATGTAACGAAAATATGATACCTCTGAATGAGTTTGAATATATGCATCAAGAGCTTCCCCAGATTTCAGAAGTATCCTAACAAGGAATAATGCATTATAGAAACGTAATTCCTTCTCCTTCCGCTGCTTTGCTGCCTTGGTATATTTACCAATTTGCAATCCACACCCCTCCCTTATCATGGAGAATATAGAATCATCAATACGGTTCTTGATCGTATCAAAACCATTGAGCTTACGGAATCGCCTTTGAGCTGCAAGGAGAAGAATAGCTGCAGGGACAATCTCCCCATGCTCGATGTAATTCCAGAGCTCATCGACAACATTATCCGTGTGAGCTGCAAGCAATCTAATGGTGTCCAAGAAGATCTTCTGCATAATACATGAATACAGAACTTCTTTACTGCTAATGTAACCAAAGTAGTAACAGATGTAAGGAGGGACTTGATACAAACCATCTCAGGCAGGCAAAGCAGATGTATGAGCTTGTAGATGTACTCGACATACCCCTTCCTGTAGCTCTCGTCAGCTAATAGATTATCCTCCAGATACTTATGCTGGCAAGTGTCCTCGATGGCAACATGGAGTGGCAGGAGGCCCTCGATGATTCTTTCACCTGAGGTGCGTAGATTAGCCAATGCACCATGGCGGAGTAGTATCTTAACCATGTCGGCGGAGAATGTCTGGGCAGTTCGGTGGAGGGGGAAGTACCCGAGGCTGGTCATGTAGTTGGGGTTGGCACGCATCCCACGGAGCTCAGGCTCCTTCCCCTCCAAAACAAACTTAGCACAGCGCAGGGCGTTCTCTGTAATAATCAGGTCAAGGGTTTGTGGAGTGATGACATATCCAGCAACCAAGTGCCCCCTATACTTTTTGTAGAGGCGGAGGAAGCCCAAAACACTATCTTTTTTGAGAACATTCACCAGATGGCCGAATATGTCATAAAATTTTAGCATTGTCTCCTAGATATCCATGTTTAAACAAGATGAAGATCAATCAGTTCAGCTATTCAACTAACAAATTAAGCATAACAACCAAATTGTATTCTATAAAGAAAACTTATATTATTGAAATCGGAAAACATGTATCTTTCATCCCTAAATTGTTTCCTAAGTGGAACTTTCCATCCTAAACTTTTAAAAGATCCAAAGCTGGCCCCTAAAAGAAAGTGGTCTTGTCCATATGAAAGCTGTTTTTAATAGCATGATGCTTATGCGTAGGTCACATTGTCACCATGTGTTTGGCATGTACAAATTTCCTTCATAAAGTTCCCATTAGTTTATCAGAAAATCGGAAACTTTTGGAAAAGAAAAAAATGTAAAAAATAAAACTTAGAGAATGACAAATATATTCTCGGTATTTTCTGATTTCCATGAAGTTTGAGTTATTTAAAATGCCCCCTTTCATTATTAAAGTTATTTTTCATACAAAATATATACCGTGTGTGCTTTTGGGCCTATGTTCTAGAATAATTCTTATCTATGGATTAACATTTTCTTTTCTGAAGATAATTGATGATGCGGGAGACCCGTAGCATGAATGCATAGCGTAATACAAAAAAGTTGATAGTTGAGGGATCAATTTGGGTGGTTTAACCTATAAAGAGTTTGGGGGGTGGAAGCTACATTTACATTACAACCGGAGGAATGCGATACATGATACAGGATAAGCTAGAAATAAAAGTTGCAGGCAAAACACGAAGAATGTTAATTAGATGTCAAATGATATGTCAACCATACGAAACGATGGGCAGGTCACAGGTGTAATCGAAGAACCTTAGGGGTGCGGTCCGGGATGATTATGTTGGTGGCTCTGACTTCGGAAAGGAAATCCGCAATCTGACGCAGGTACTGAAAGAGAGGAACTGTCAGCCAAGAACAACTCCCAGAAGAAGTGCAGTAACATCATAACATGAGGGGGCACGTAATTTACCTTCATGTTATACTGATGAGGGCATGTTAAGGCGAGTATTGAGGGGTGAGGAGGCGGGCGGGGAGGGTTCCATGGATCATCAGGCCTATCTGTGGCGCTTTTACTGTTGTCTTCACGGCAGGGAGCATCATCCTCTTGGGATGTTGTCGACCCGCCTGTGGCTTTGGGAGTAGCATCATCTTCGTGATCAACAGCTTCCGCTGCTGCGTGGCTAGTTCCGCGGGCTGTCTGCATCGGCGTTGGCTGGCTGAAAGAGGAGACGGGGCGAAACAGTTTGGTTGGGGTGATCAGATCAAATGCCCAAATCCCAGCTAGAAGTGGTAGCCGCTAGGAGTCCGACGGACGGATGAATCCTCCACATGAGTTGGGGGCGGGGGCGGGGGCGGGGGAGTGCCTGCCGGCGCTATCGGGACTTCCGGCGTGCCTCCGTCGCCTCCTCCTTTGCCCTGAGCCGGAACGACGACGTGTGCGGTAGGTCATTTTTTTTAGGGTTACGTGTGCGGTAGGTAGGTAGGGGGCACTGCCACGTCGCGAGCCCATGTTGGGGCCCAATGGGCTACCTCATGCTGCGCAAATTAATTACCGGGCGAAGGTATTCGTTCAGAGAGCTCCTCGCCAGCGCCTTCAGCGCCGGTAAGGAGTTCCGGGCGCCTACGTGCTTTCTTCGTGGGCTGAATTGTACGAAGCCCAGTTCGTTCAACAACATGATAAACAATGAAACGGGAACAAAATATATATTAGAGCATCTCCAACAGCCGCGCTAAACTAGCGCCGCGCCGCAAATTAGTCGGTTTTAGCGCATGCGCAACGCGGCGGGTCACTTCAGCGGGCGCGCAAAAACGGCGCGCGCGCTATAACGAGTTGGGCGTGCTGTCGGAAACGCCATCCCGCGCGGTGTATTTCGGGCGCCTGCTACAGCGCACGGCACACTCGACCGCTCGCGCCGCACTCTCTCCTCTCCTCCTACGCCCCGCGCGCGCCGGCGCCGGCGCCCTGCCACCCATGGGCGCGCACACCGGCACCCC